TACTTGATAAAAAAATCACGGAAGATATTCTGGATAAAAAAATAAATTCACTACAAGATGGTCTTAGAAAGTCGTATTCAGATGCTGTGAAAGATGTTGTTGGGAAGAAAGTTGAAACTGTAAATAATGAAGTGATGAGTATGAATGATGGAATAAAGGCACTAAAAGAAGAGGTCATTAGTACAAAGAAAACAATTCAATTATATAGTGAGGTTGAAGAAAGATCGTTCAACTTTATAATTTTTAAATTGAAGGAAAGTAACAACCTCAGTTTTAATGATAGCAAAAAAGAAGATGATGATAAGATTATGCGCATTCTTAGTGCAATAACAGATGAAAAATTTGATATGTCAAATGTTGTTAGACACTACAGATTGGGCAAGAGATCGGATAATGTCAGGCCGCTGTTGGTTAGACTGAAGTCAAAAGTTTTGAAGAACTTAATTATGGAAAGTCCAAATATTTTGAAAAATTATGATGATGATCTGAAGGGAATAGGTATTGGTCACGATATGACAAAAGATCAAAGAATCAAGTGTAGAGAATTGATGAATTTAGCGAGGGAGAAGGAGGCAGCTGATAAAGAGGATTTTGTTTACAGAGTGAGGGGCGAACCTGGAAATTTGAGAATAATTCGAATAAAAAAAAGATTGCACTGAATATGTGCTCTTTCGATATCGATGGAATATTTGAGGAACTTGATGACATTAAATATTTGATAAATGATGTAAACAGAAAAGTTAATGCAATATTTTCGGTAGGGGCAGTGGGCGGATATGAATAAAAAAAATTTGGAAATTTTGGTTGTGTGAATTTTGTCATTAACTATAGGGAAAGTAACATGGTGAATGATCAATTGGGTGGTTGTGGTGGTGATGATGATAGACGTGATGGTAGATTTATTGATGATGGTCGAATTAATGTTACCTGTGACGGGGATGATGATGGAGTTGATAGCGGTAGGACTGATGATATTAATGATGGATATTTGAAAAAATTACGTCTAGGTCTCTTAAATATAAGATCAATGATTTCAAAGACTGACACTATTTATGAATTATTACATGAAGACTTAGATATTCTTGTGTTAACAAAAACATGGCATGGTTCATCAGATGATGTTTCGGTTAAACTAGCTATGCCCCATGGATTCAGGTTTGTTGATTGTTTGCGAAGAGATGATCCATATCACGGGGGATTAATCATTTACTTTCGTGATCTCTTTAAACACAAAAGGATAGCTTTGCCGGAATTATTAACATTTGAGGCAATTGTGGTTATATTGATAGTAGGCACAGTTAATGTTGTACTATTTGCCATTTATCGACCAGGATCGCAGTTGGTTTCTAAAGCATTTTTTCAAGAATTGACCAGTATCTTGGAGAACATAATGTTATTGAGTGATCATGTAATATTATTAGGTGATTTGAACGTGCATGTTGAAAAAAATGATGATGTTAATGCCAAGATATTATCGAATGTGTTTGACATGTTTTCAATGCAAAATGTAATAAAAGAACCTACACATATGCATGGTGGAACGTTGGACTTGGTGGTATCAGTAATAAATATGCCTGTTACTCGTGTTAGGGTATATCCTAGTGGTGTCATTTTTGATCACAGTTTGGTTTCATTTTGTTTGCCAATAGTTTGTTCCCCTGTGTTAAAGGTTAAAAAGACTGTACGGGCAAGGAAACGTGTGGATGAAAATCATTTGCTTACCTTGATTAATGGATCTCCAATAAGTGGTGCTTGTAATGACGACGATGTAGATAAAGCAGCAGAGCTCTTCAACAATGAAATGATGAGAATTGCTAATACTGTTGCGCCTCTTCATGTTGTTGAAACAAGAATGGTTCCAACTGCACCATGGTTTGATAATGACTGTAGAGGAATTAAACGTGATTGTCGAAGGTATGAACGCAAATATAGAAAAAATAAATGCATGGTTAATAGGCAGAACTGGCTTGGCCTAATGAATGTGAAACAAGAGCATTTTGCAAAAAAAGGAGAATCATATTGGAACAATTTAGTTAACACTAACGCTAACAAGGTTTTATGTAACAAAAAAACTAACACGGTTGATGTAGCAAACAATAAAATTACTGCCAGTGAATTTGCAGAGTTTTTCAGGAAAAAGATTGAAAACATTAAAAAAACCATAATAGGGCATGGCGTACCTTCTTTCAGT